ATTCTTTTGTTCCCACTATTAGGAAAATTGGCCTTTATTGGAGAAGAAAATATTAACACATTAGGCCTAGAAGTACAGAGCCTGTCTATATTTAATGAGCCATTGCCAGTTTCCCTCCTAGTTACATCCCTGGCTCAATCATGGAGACTTTCTTATCAGCAGTTCTCAAAATTTGTCATGCATCAGAATAATCTGGGGGGCCTATTAAAACCCCCAGAGTGTCAGATTTGGTAGGTCTGGGGTGGGGCCTGAGAATTTGCATTTCTAACAAGTTCCCAGGTGATGCAGATGCTATAGTGGGTCCAGAGACCGCAATTTGAGGACGACTGTCCTGAATATTCTGAAACATCAGCAGTATTTAAGTAGACATTTGGTGATTTCCTAAATGACTTGTAACCTGGCCTTTAGTTTAGAACCCAAATAGGCTGGTTTTAAGGAAGACGGTGATGTCCAAGAAAGTTAGTAGCTCCATGAGTTTTTAAAAACAATTGCCATGTCTGGTTTTCTTAGCCTGGGTCTGGCCAGCTGTTTTGGAGTTGGCTGGTTCGAAAGGATGTAGTGCGTTACCATGGCGATAGTCTTCCCCACACAGGAAGGCCCCAGAGGCTGGTCCTGCACAACTGACCGAGTGTTTTCCATGGCTTTTCCCGTGGGGTGCTGCAGGGCTCCATTCCCTCACTCCTAGTTGGCGTTCCCAGGGAGCCGGGGGTAGTCAGGAGGCTCCAGCTCCCCCTTTATCCAGCCTGTAAATGAAGTGAGCTTCCTTAGTCAGTCCAGGGCCCAGCTGACTTAGGGCCACGGATCAGATTAAGCTCATTTGGGTACAAAGCAGAAGTGGTTGGCAGGGGCATCCCAAGGCTATGGGGAAGGTGCTTTCCGCTCCTTAATTAGCAGCTCCTGCCCTGTAGCACTGTGTCTGGATTCTCAGCCAGGGCAGCCATGCCTTTCCTGCAGCATGTAGCATGAAGGTTATTACCTCTATGGATGCAGGGCATGGCAGAAATGTCTTTGGCGCGTGACTGCCGTGGGATCCCTTTGTTCTCTTCCCGGGGTTCTCCTTGAAGGCCACGCAGAGATCCTGGTGTGCTTCCCTCAGGGTAGCACACATGGTGTCCAGGTGGCCACAGCTCACCCGAGGACAGTTCAAGGTGTGGCCCTGCAGACCTTGTGTGGTTTGAATTCCGGTTGCTACAGGCCCTCTCCTTTCCTGTGTGCATCTCTGCAGTTGACATAAACCCATTACACGAGCCAGGTTTGAACGCCAGGGGAGATCGCAGTCGATTTTTAAAGAAGGGGCTACTAAAAATGCTCCCCTGAAGAGTTTCCCTGGTATAATTTTATGGTCACGTTGGACCGGGTGCAAAGCTGTTGGTTACCCGTGTCAGCCTAAGAATGCAGGTGGGAGGCCAGGACAGAGACAGACCAGGCACTGGGCAGTTTCTGTTTAATCTGGGTTGGTTAGTTACACCCTGACTTTAGGAAAGCTTCTTCCAAGTTTGTGTGACAGCCTTAGCATGTTATTTAGGAACTACACAAGACTATGCATCTCTTCTGATGGTGGGTATTACCTCGGGGACCCGTTCTGTAACCTGAATGGATCAGAGGGACAGGAGATAAGAGCAGATTCCTGAACACAAAAAGTCCAAACCTTACGAGCCTGTTAAGTGACAGATGCCTGACATTCATTCTTACCTAATCCTTGGTACATCCAACTAGGACTTTTTAGGCCCATTTTACAGGTGGGGAAACTGAGTTTCAAGAGGTCAAGAAGTGACCTGTGCAAGGTCACCAAGCTGCTTAGGGGGCACTTTCCCTCTCACCTATCTAAAATATTGTCTTTCCTCAGGTTGTTTTCTTTCTCCGTTCCTTCCCACCAAATTTTATCTCCCTTTTCCAGGAGTATCTGTGTTCTGGCCTGAAACAACTTTATAAGCAGAGAGATCTGTGCACTTTTAAGCAGCTAAACTCATCATTATGCTTCTTAATTCAGATTATCAAAATGTTGTGGAACTACCCACCCCATTATGCTTTTTTTTTTTTTTTTTGGTGAGGAAGATTAGTCCTGAGCTAACATCTCTTGCCAATCCTCCTCTTTTTGCTGAGGAAGAGTGGCCCTGAGCTAACATCCATGCCCATCTTCCTCTATTTTATATGTGGGACACCGCCACAGCATGCCTTGATAAGCAGTGTGCGGGTCTGCACCCAGGATCCAAGCCTGCAAATCCCGGGCTGCTGAAGCAGAGCGTGAGAACTTAACCACTATGCCACTGGGCTGGCCCCTATGCTTTTTTTTTTTTTTAATATACCTTTTTTCAAGTTTAATAGACATACGGAAAAGTACACAGATTGTAAGTGTTCAGATTAATGGCTTTTTAACTGAACACACCTTTATAACCACCACCCAGATCAAGAAATAGAATCCCAGGTATATTTTCATTCTTAAGGTTCTTTCGTTTGTTTTTGCCACGTGAACTTCTGGTTAGAAGTATATTATCAAAAGCAAAAATAAACAAGTGGGGCTACATCAAACTAAAAAGCTTCTGCATAGCAAAAGAAACCATCAACAAAATGAAAAGGCAATCTACCGAATGGGAGAAAATGGCAAATCATATATCTAATAAGGGGCTAATATCCAAAAGATATAAAGAACTCCTCCTACAACTCAATGGCAAAAAGCCAAACAATCCGATTAAAAAATGGGCAGAAGATCTGAATAGACATTTTTCCAGAGGAGACATACAGATATAACTGACCTGTTATAATATTTGTGTCATCCAGGTCTGTCACAGCAGTATTCGAAAATCCCCAAAATGCTGAGTAGTTACAAGTCAGCTAATGAATGAGCCCTGTTTACATATGGCCCAGGATTTTAGAAGGGGACTTCAGATACCCCCAAGAAAGAGGTCACAGTAACTCCTGAGAGAGTTTAAGAACAGAAGAGTCATGGAATTTTACAGCACATCTCATATGTGAAGCTCAGGGAGGTTGAAGAGTTTGCCCACAATCTCACAGCAAGGAAGCAGGACCAGCACGCAGCTCTGCCTACACACACATACACACCCACACGCACACACACCCGTGCACACACACCCCGGATGCATGCTATCTGAGAAGTCCCCATTGAAATGGATCCTGACCAGGAAGGAAGCCATTGGCAAGAGGGCCCGTACAGGGCCAGCGAGGTCACTGCCCAGGGTCACCACTCATAGATGCTGCCCACCTCTAGGGTTTGGTACCCTACACCCTAGACACTCAGCTGCCCTTCCTGCCCCATCTGCTCCCAAGTGGGCCACTGGCGGAGACAGCCCGGCTCCCCCATCCTGGCACGTTGGGAAAGTTTCTGGATAAAACCAAACCCCGTCTGTGGCCGGAATGTGTTGTGAGCGAGTGTCCCATTCGGCACGGCCTCTATTCTCTTCGGGCTACAAAGACCAAGGTCCTAAGCCAGCTCTGCCACTTGCCAGCCGGTGGTCCTGACCCCAGCAACCTCCAGGCTTGTAGTGATATTTAGCCCTACCATAGCAAGGGGAAGCTTGGCACATGGCAAAGCACTTCTCCTGACAACATTTATCCAGCAGTTCCTCTGGGCCAGGCTTGTTGCTAAGTGCTGCACACATTTCTCGTTTATTCCTCACCATAGCTCAAGGGAAAGGTGCTTCTCTTATCCCCGTTTCTACAGAAAGCACCCGAAGCTCAGAGAAGCACGTGACCGCTCAGGGTCACACAGCCACTTAGATGATGGGGCCCCATGCAAACTGGAGAGGAGCGTGTCTACACCACCCTGCCTGGCTGCCACTTATAACTGGTCATTTGGTAGTTATTTAGTGAGCCTGCTGTGTGTCAGGCATTGTGCTGGGTGCTGGGGAGACAGCTGTGAGCCGACAGACGACGTCCTCACCCTCACAGAGCCGACGCTCTGAGCGGGATCCTTTGGGGAAGGATTCTCTTGGAGATTCGTGCTTCTGGTACTTTTAGAGAAAAGGCTGCCTCCTTTTTCTCAAATCCCCATCCCCACTGCTTGCTCATCATCTTTGAAGCCCCCCAGAGCCCTCCAAGTCTCTCCTTAAGGAGACGATGGCTGAGAGCCCGGTGTCCCCGAGTCTGTGGGTACCCCGTGCCCTATGAATAAGGAACTCACTGGAACAGCCTGCTCCCTTAGGGCCCTGGCCGCACCCCGAGCCTCATGCCCTACAGTGGCCCCCTCTCTCCCAGCCCTGCGAGTGGGGGAGGGCAGACCTTGGCCCAGCAGCTCCTTGCTATTGAAGGACCCCATCTCCATCCTGGCACACCTTTTCCGGGCCAGCCGACAGCACTCATGCCAGCCTGATAAGAGGCTTGGGGGACCCACAGCCACCCCGCACATGCAGCCCTGCCACCTCCACGTGGCCTCGTGTCTGTTATTCTCTATATCTCCACACACAAAGAGCCCTGGTGCTGTTGCTGGCGCTCAGCTGCTGGAGTGGGGAGGACGGGCGGTGGTGAAAAGCTTTTCTGAAAGGCCAGGGTGGAGGCAAGAGTCACCCAGGTGATCCGAGCTACTCCCCTGGGACCCCAGCCCAGGACCACAGTGAAAGGTTACTGCTAATTGGCGAGCTCCTGATGGGGCCGCATCTATTTAGCACTCCCCCCTCCCCAGAGACTTCCAGGATGGTCTTGGCACAGCGTGTGATCCGAGAGCTCCCCGCCTGAGTCTGGCACAATCTGTCTGAAATTGTGAACATGGAGCCTCTTGGTTTTTAATTTGTCTTGCCGTTGTTGTTGTTCTCTGGCCATTGTTTCCGGTAGATTTAGTAGCAGCAGCCACCCTGACTCTGGTGCCCCCTCCCTGGGGCCCTCTCGCAGGCTCCTTCCACCCCCAGCCCCTCAGACCTAACATCGGAGGGCTTGCGGGATCAGGGAGCAGCACTGTCCCTGCCCCCGACCCATCGCCCGGCCTCGAGGCCCAGCTCTCACCCTGCCATCATCCCCGACACTAACACAGCTTGTCCACCCTGTCGCAGGGGGCAGATGGCCTGTCGGAGCCGGAGGGCATCTCTCTGAAGCGGGTCGCTGTGGTGGAAGATTTCTTTGACATCATCTACTCGATGCATGTGGAGAGCTCAGCGGAGCCAGGCAAAGCCCCCAAGCACGCTGGGCAGAAGAAAACCTACAGAGCGGTGAGATTTCTGTCTCTTTGCCTCTGCTGGCAGCCTCAGGCCTTGGCAGGAGGCCACGGGCTCTGCACATGTTGGGCGGGGGGCGGGGCAGGGAGCTGAGGCGTGATGAAACAGCCTTTGGGGACCCAGGGGGGCACAGGGCAAGGGCATGGCAGCCAGAGATGGCTCACGGGGCGAGGGGGCGGGCCCTGTGGTCTGAGCACAGAGGAGAAGCAGGTTGGAGGGAGTGAGAGGGAGGGAAGGAGAGGGATGAGGGCAGGAGGACAGCCCTCCTGTTCCCCGTTTCTGCTTCACTTGTCCCCCCCAGCCCTTGCAGCCTGCTCTGGGGAGGTGGGGGCGGAGGGGAGGACTAGATGATAATAATCATAAGAGCAAAGGCTTCCGTGGCATTTACTGTGTGCCCAGTGTGTAAGTTCATTTGATCCCCTACCACCCTGTGAAGTCAGTACTGGAAGTTCCTCAGGGGAAGTCTGAGGCCCTGGTCCCCACCCTCAAGGAGATCACAGTTTGATTGTGGGGGGGAGGCTGAGACCAAAACCAAAACACAAGAAACAGAAATGTCTCCAAGACTAGCTTTGAGGGAACGAGAACCCAGGCACCTGGGCATTCAGTCAAGGCACCTGCAGACACCAACGTTCGGTGCTAAGCCAGGGGGCTTCATGGAAAAGGTGGCGTAAGCTGGCATTCAAAGCTTTAGGTAGGCAGGAGGGAGCAGAGATGGCATTCTAGGTGGGAAACATCACACATGGAGAGGTGGAGGGGCCTGCCGGTGTTCTGGTCCATCCCCTGTTGACCTCGTCACCACGGCTCATGCAGAGCTCTGAACTGCTTGTCCAGTGCCCACCACTAAACCAGTAAAGCCAAGTGCCTTATGTTCATTCAAGCTTCATAGCCGTCCTGTGATGGAGGCACTGTGGTCCCATTTCACAGTTAAGAGAAGCGAGACCCAGAGGGTTAAGCGACTTGTCTAAGGTCGCACAGCACCAGAGTGACAGTCAGCCGGTGCCCACCTGCCGCCTCTGTGTTGACTTTCTCTCTGGCTTCCTAGAGAAGCCTCTCAGTGACCTGCCCTCTGTGACTGGGCTTCCCCACTCAGGGCGGACGTGACCCCCCCAAGTTCTTTGTATAAACAGCCTTGGACTGCAGTGGAGGTGGTCTGTGCAAGTCTATAATTTCCCCCTGTGGCCTGATTTTTTAAAAATCCAACGTTCTGATTTGTCCTTGTCCTCAAAAGATGACCTTTGCCCTAAATGAGTCTTAAGGATGAATCCACGTGCCAAGGACCTCAGAGAGACGAGGGGTAGGGATGAGGGAAGGAGACTGATTCTACCGTCTGCCCCGACCCCTCCTGCTTCTCAGTGCATGTGCATTGGGGAGTGACTCATGGGAAGTGAGTTCTGAGCGTATTTCCACCAGAGAGTCACAGACGAAGGGAGGGACACTCAGGCTGGGCCGGCGTGGACCCCTTGGTATTGACGAGACGCAGCACATTTTCTCAGCCTTCACTTTGCCAGTGCTGGGCAGTTAGCGTGTCCGAGTACTTTCCACTCTCCAATCCTCTAAGCCTCCACACGTGTGAAGGTCATATGTACGAAGCAGGTGTTACCATTGTCCCCATTTTGCAGATGAGGAAAACGAGGCCCAGAGGGATGTATAACCTGCACCCTGACCACTGCACGTCCTGCCTCTATACAAACCTCCTGTGGTCAGCTAGTAAGCCCGATGACTTGCTGTTGTCCAGGTCGATGGGCTTGGGCCAGCCAGACCGTGTGATTTCCTTGGTCCCCTCGGTGCCCAGCACCAAGCCTCCCCCACATGCGCTCCCTGGATATTTATGACGGCCGGGGTCTGCAGCCTCCATGCTGTGGAGAGGGCAGGGCTGGGCTGGTCCTGCCAGCCTTTGCGTCCCTGGGCCAAGTGGACATGCAGCCCTTTGCTCTGCACTTCCTGGCTTCTCGTCCATATGCCCGCCGCGTGCCCCACTTCCTGCTGCCCAGCCTGGAGCTGGCACATGACTGGCGGCGAGCCAGCTGGGCTGCGCACAGAGCTGGAATTTCAGCAGCAGGGCCAAGGCTGAGTGGAACAGGCCAGGGCCCTCCTGCGGTGGGTGTAAGGCCAAGGGGGCTGCCACCCCCCCCATGTGTCCTCCTTTCCTCCTCCTCTTCCCCATCTGTCACCCGTCTCATGCCACCCTCTTCCTTTTTGGGGGTGGGGGTGGTGCCTGGGTGCTATTGTCCCCCTCTTTTCATCTGCTCCCATTTTCCTCAACCCGAGCCTAGCTCCTCAGCTCCATCTGCGCCTGTGGAAGGAGAGCCCCCAAGGGAACTCTGTGCTGGTGGCTGCAGAGAGGCACAGCCTGGCACTATGGGGTTGATGGCTGAGGGGTTTTTGGACCTGTCTCTGTGTGTTTTGCCGAACCTGAATCCTGGGACTGCCTGGCCGTCTCTGGACACCTGGGACTCTGGATTCTTCCAGGCCTGGGTGCCTGTGGGAGGCAGTCCCTGGAAGGCAGATGGGCAGGGTTGTTCAGGGCTTGAAAGGAGGCACATTCTTCAGTGGAAAAAAGAAGATTCTAGCACCTACTGCTGTCCAGCAATGGATCAGAGAGGGCAGGTAATGAGCTTTCTGAAACTGGAGGTATACGAGCCAGGGGTAAATGGCTATTTACAATGGATAATGCAAGGGGATTCTCACTTTGGGCAGGAAGCCCCTGCCTTACTTTGCCTCTGGTGCAGGGTGACCAGAGGTCCAGAGGATCCCAGGGGGTCTTGCCAATGCCAGGGTCTGGGAGGGTTCCAAGCAGGTCTACAGAGTTCCTGAACCCACATGATGGACTGGTCCTTTTTCAAGAGGCTTGTCTGATGTCTGTGCCCATCTGGGTTGGAGCAAGCGCTTTTGCTTCCTTCCTCTCTCCCAGGGTGCTGGTAGGCTGGATCAGGTTCCGGAGTCCAGATCTGGCTGCCCAGACCACTTTGGAGTTGGGGCCAGATGTGGTCAGCAGCTGCTCCAGGCCCACCACGTGCTAATCCACCCGCAGGGCAGAAGGAGGATCTTGTAAAGTGGTGCAAATCCCCCCAATTGGCCTCATCCGTCTTTGTCGGCCTCTGAGTCGGGGAGCGAAAATGGGGCCTTGCAAGTCAGCGACTCTGCAAATAGCTTCTGCTCTCCCTGCCAGCAAAATCTCTCTCAGTTTTCACCACTAGGAAAAACGTTAAAGGCAACTTCATGTGCGGGTCTCAATGTCCAGGCAGGAGGCCCCAAGACCAAGGCAGCAGGCAGCCCAGGGCCGCTGAGGGGAGCTGGGGGTCGGCCAGAGGTCCTGGAGCTTCTCCTCCTTAAACACAGCAGCTCCATCTTTATCTGTTCATGTTTTGGGCTCCACCATGAGTCTATTTCCAGAACAGTGTCTGTAGCTCTAAAACTATCTGAAAACCGCCATCCTACTGACTAGAGCGTCAGCCGGGATTGTCCTCCTCATTCAACTCATCCTGTGGTCTGTGGCATTGCGCGTCCCTGCAGTCAAGCAGAAATGGAGGTCCCATTTCTCATGTGGACAACCCAGGAGGGTGAACCAAAAGACGCCCGCAGGTTGAAGGCCCCAGTGGGGGGACGTGTCCTCCTATGGCAGCGCGGAGCTGGGCTGGACTCTGCACTTTTCTGACTCCCCAGGGAGCTGTGAGCAAGGCTGCCGTCCTTCCAGCCATGCAGGGCAGGGCTTCCGTCCCTGGCCCTCCAACAGCTCCAAGGACTTCTCACCTACCTGCCTTCAGTCCACCCCACCCACCCCTCTGTGGGACCCGGGGCCAGGAGGGGTGCGCCCAGCGCTCCTCCTCCCTGGGGCACGCCCACCAGCCTTTGCATGGGAGGCAGGCCAGGAAGGCTCTCCCTGAGCCCCGTAAAATCTATTTCTCTGTCCAGTGGCAGGTGAGCTCGTGTAGTGAAGGAGGGCTGTCCCTGTGGTATCAGCCTTTCCTCCTTTTCCCGGCACACTGTGACCCTCCTCCCCAAGTCCTCCGCTCAGCTCTTCTGCGGCCTGAGCTGGGATGCCACGCCTTGCGGTGCCTAGGAGGTCATCTGTTGGCCCAAGTGAGCCGCAGCCCTCCACTTGGCCCAGTGCGCGCCCTTCCTTTTGCTCATTTACTCCTGCAGCCATCAGCCCTTCAGCAGGGCCCCTCCCTCCCAACTCCACAGGCTGAGAGGGACATGCTTCCCCTAAGATTTCCAGGAGCTCTGGGCTGGGGATGAAGATGTCCATGTGCGTGGCAGGAAAGCCCACATCCCGCAGCCCTAACACCCAAGGAGGGTGGACTGCACGCCCTCCCGTCCACCAGCTCCAATCAGAGAGCAGGGGTTTGCCCTTGTCCGTGACCTCCAGAGGAAGGCAATCAGACAGGGAATTTGGAAGGGAGATAACTCATCAAGGAGCCTGCCTGCTCCGCAGAGCATCAAATCAGCTGAGAAATAACAATTGTGTCACCAAAATTAACTCTGCGTTTGCAGCCAGCCGCCAGGCGGGAGTGGCCCCTGGAGCTTCACTGGCCGGCTGAGCTGGGAGCAGCCTGAGCTGGTCCTCCAAGGGCCTGGCCACAGCCTGGGGCACCCCGGGCCTCCTACATCTCCCCCAACTCCATCCACTCCGCCCTACCCTACCCGGCCTCCTGGCCACCACAGAGATGGAGCAGGGCGTGTGCATCCCAGAGGAGCAGACTGGGTGCTGTCCTGGAGAGCAGCCCCGTCCCCTGTGGGCTGACCAGCGCCCTCCGCCAACTTTCCCAGCTGGGCTGCGGCGAGGACGGCGGAACACTGGGGTGATGCTGCCCCTTAGTGGAGAGGAGCGGGAGAGCCCGGGCTCTTGGAAAAAGTGCGAAAACCAGCAACTGGGCAGCTGCCAGCCTCAGCCAGGGAACCTGGGCCTACGAGGTCCCTCTGGTCCCGTCTGGCAGCCAAACCAGGGCCAGTGGGTTTCCCAAAACTCAGAACAAGAGGAGAGGGCTGGGCGTCTGGGCCCACACCCTCCTCTTCCCCACTGCCCCACCCAGCTCTTTCTTGTGTTCCCTCCCACACCCCCTTTCTCCTTGCTAGCTAGAAGAGGCCCTCTGGAGGCAGCTATGGGGTGGTGTGACCTGGAGCCCCGGCTTTAGTCTGGCACTGCCTCTAAAGAGCTGTGTGACCTTGGGCGAGTTGGTTCACCTCTCTGGGCCCCGTGACCTCACCTGGAACATAGGGGTTTTTAAGAGCCTGTCCACTTTGCAAAATCTCATCCCTTGGCATCAGCCTTTCACAGCTCTCTCTAAAAAGGTTCTCAGTCTGTGAGTTACTAAAAGAAATAGCCTGTAGAACCTTGCATCCTGTTTACAGGCCCGGAGCCCGTAGAATTATAAGTGGAGCTCAGTTTATCCATCTCTAAGAGGGGAAACTGTTTCATCTTGCCCTAGAGCGATGTTTATAAGCTCATCTTTCAGTAGCAGCAGTAAAATGTTCTGAGAGGAGTATTACTTATTAGAACGTAGGTTAAAGACTAGAGAATGTCTAAGTGTTGTGCTTTTTCAATTTTTAAGCTCCTTTACTCAAAAATTTAAGACAAATGGTTTTCCGCAAAAGCACTGACTCATTTCCGTGGCTGAGAATCGAGGCCACCTGCCCCTTGCTCCTTGAATCCCTGCCCTACCTGGCAAGGGCTAAGTGCCTGCCACCAAAGCACAGCCCTCGGTGACCCGGTGACCATGCGGCCTCCCCCTGGGTCCATATGACAAGCACACCTCCTCTCGCCCCCAGATCGCGGAGACCTACGCCTTCCTTCCGCGAGAGGCCGTGACCCGCTTCCTGATGAGCTGCACGGAGTGTCAGAAGAGGATGCACTTCAATTCCAACGGCCTGGAGCCCAAAGGTAGGGGAGGAGGCGGGCGGGCTGGAGGCTCTGCAAGGCCGTGCAGGGAGAGGCTTTCCCCTCAGAAGGGTCTTCCTTTGCTGGCACAGACAGAAAAGTCCACGTCCGGTAGTTGTCACAACTCCTAAACACCAGTGTGGGTCCATGGGGCTGCCCAGAGAGCCTCATCTGGGGTTTTCTTTTTTTTTTACCTTTTTTTCAAAAATGTCAAGTTTCACTTAAAAACCATCAGTACATTCCTACTGCTCTTTAAGACCCTCTTCTCCCACCGAAGTTCTGGATGAAAATGGCCACCTCGCCTCATTCCCTAAGCTCTGTAATTCGTGCCACCCAGGTCTCACCCTGGGCAGTGTCTGCACAGGTCTGGTCTTGCTGACCCAACTGTCAGCTCTCTGAGGACAGGGCACACCCCTCGCCGTGTGTGCCCTCCTACCTTATAGCCACACACCTGCCAGTAGTAGGTCCTCGATGAGTGTTTGTTTCCTCCTGGTGCACACCCAGGAAATCTATAGGGACTGGTTAGAATTTAAAATGCCCAGAGCACTCGTGACCAGCCGAAGTTCGTCCCTTGGACCAAAGTCCGTGTTCTCCAGCTCTGCCCTGCCCAGTGAGATGCAGCGAGGACCCCCACTTCAGTCCCCCCGCACCTCAACCTAAATGTCCCCAGAGGCCTCCAGTAAATCTGGGACCCATCTGTTGACAGGTGGCTTTGGCTCAGTGAGACGGACCAGTACACTTGGCTGGTATGATTCTAACTCTGCCCTGAGGAACGGTGCCCAGGTGGGCGATTCATCAGGGCGTCTAGGCTGCACCTGGGCATCAGGCCTGCAGAGGTGGCTGATGTCAGTGGGCTCTTTGCCTGAGAATGGGAACAGACTGGGAATGAAGGGTGAGCCATTTACGCCAGTGGTGCTCAAGTGGCGTCCACCAAATCTGGGGAAGGTAAAATCAACAACGAAGGCCGAGTAGATGACAAAGGAATTGGAGGCTAGGCATCAAGTGGGGTTTTCCACTCATTCTTTTGTTCCCTGGTGCATGAAAGCAACTTCTAACACCAGCCCCCTCACCAAATCCAGAGGCTTTCCTGTCCATGGGGCCACTGGGCGCTTCAGTGGGGACATTTGGGTAGCTTCTAAAGCACGAGGGACGGAACGAGTCTAGTTAATCCCTCATCGGTGCTGTGTTCCTGGTTTAAGAGCGAGAACTCCGGGGCCGCATGGGTGGGTTCGAATCCCAACTCTGCCACTCAGCAGCTGTGTGTCCTGAACAAGTGACTTCATCTCTCTGAGCCTTGGTTTCCTCATCTGTGAAATGGAGTTAATAATGGTACCCATCTCAGGGGGCTGATGAGATTTGAGAGTTAATCCCTATACCTGGCACAGGGGTTCCGCACAGGAGGAGTGAGCTGCGGCTGTGGCAGGTATTGTGTTAATGCCGCATGCCTGAGTGAGGCCCCTCTCCCACGTGACCTGGCCCTGGCTCAGCGGCTGCAACCCCTGAGCCAAGACAGCACGTGGTACCTGCAAGAAGGGCCAAGAGGGCCTTCCTTGCTATACTCCCCACCCTGCCGGGGTCTGGGTCCCCGGGGCGGGTGCCCTGGTGGCAGCTGCCTGGTCCCTACCCACCCATCCACCTGTCCCCTCCTATTCTGTCCTAATCGTTTCTATAGCAACTGGCGGAGTCAGATACAGAACTGCTTGCCTCCAGGGACAGAGGCGAGGCCAAGAGGGGCCGCATTTGTGGGCTGCTCTGGGGTGTCTGCAGGCTCCATCTATTCCGCTCCTTTGCTCCCTGCTGGTGTGGAGGACATTCCTCACCTCCCCTACTCCTCAGTGAAGGCTGCGAGGTCTCCAGGGCTGCAGCTCCACTCCTCCTCATCTGTGGGCTTCCTCATGGCCGGGAGGGTGATGCCAGGGGCGGCAGCAGCCTGTCTCTTCTCTGTGCTGCCACCACCATGCCCCCACCCCCAGGGAGGAGGAAAGGGAGGAGGGAGGGAGGGGAGTGGAGAGGGAGAGAGCACACACGCCAGAGGGAGCCGCCTAGAATAGAAACCAGCTCCGTGGGCTCTGTGTTGGAGCCTCTCTCTCCAGGGGCTTGCTCCAGGCGGGACAGAGGGCAGGCAGAGTAGGGCTACACTGGGTTCATCCTTGCCCGTCCTCAGACAGAATGCCACTTGTCTGTCCCCAGGAGCGGAGCTTCCTGCACTGGGAGAGGAGGAGACACTGAGGGAGTAGGAGACAACGTGGCCCGTGGAAGAGTGTGGGCTGGGGAGCGGGCAGGCCTGTGTGTGCCTCCCTGTTCCCTACTGTGTGTCCCTTGGCAGGTTAGGGGACCTCTCTGAGCATCAGCTGCTCATAACAGCTCCTATGAGCCTATGAGGTATCTGTCCCAGTTTACAGCTGAGGAAATGAGACACAGAGGGGTGTCATGGCGAGATCATTTGTCCAAGGTCCCCAGAAGGCAGGAGAACTTATTTCCTCATCAGCAAAATGGGAGTGACACCTCCCTCTCAGGGTTGTCATGAGGATGCAGTTGAATTAAACAAGCCCAATCTGTGGTGCACCTGGTGCAGTGGCTGGCTAGAGGACATCAGCCTGTCCTCCCCGCCATGGTGTTGCACCACGGCGCCCAGACACTAGACCACTAATGTCCAGGTGGCCCCACAGGGAGACACATGGTCAGTCACCCCACGCAGGCCAGCACCCTGGTCCACAACCTGGACACTGGGCAAAAGAGAAGGGCTTGGTTTCTGGAAGCTGCCAGTGGAGAGCCTCAGAGTCTGAAAGGCTCTCCTGTCTGCTTAATGGCCAGAGGCATTAGCGGCCTGGGCCACCGTCGCCATCTGGCAGGTTCTCCTTTCTCCTGCCCCAGCTGAGGGCCTGGAGCTGCTGTCTCCGGCCGCCATGCTGGCCTCTCTGGGTGTGGTCAGCTCACTCGCTCGCTCTTTTGCAGGCACCCCTGCCGTCCAGCCCTCCCTCCTCCCTCTCCCGCTGCTGCTGGCCCTCTAGGGAAATCGGAGCCGGCCTGGGCTCCAGCGGCAGGCCCGGGGTTCCTGTCCCAGGAGGGTGGGGCGGGAGGGGGACAGGGAACAGGATGGAGACTTCTCGAGGGGCTGCTGGAGAACGCCTTGCTTCCTGGCCTCGTGTTAGAAAGAAAGAAAGGAAGCAGAGCAGCCTGCCCTGCTCAGCGGTTGTCCCCGGCAGAGTGTGGGGGCCGGGACAGACCCGTGCCCTCCCCCAGCGCCAGGAGCACAAACAAAGGAGGCTGCGGAGGATCAGGAAGTTTGAGGATGGGAAATTCCAGGGCCTCCCGGCTCCACGCTCCTCTGCCACCAGCCCCTGAGCGAGTCCAGGCAGAGGGGGGGACAGAGAACAAGAAGCAGGTGTGTCCTCAGACCAGCCCCGGCTCCAGAGGAGAGGGCACTTTTCTGTTTTCTTCAATGTGACAAAATATTGTTTGCACGGCTGCAAACTAGGAGTTAGTGGTGGGTAATGCCACGTACCTACAAGGTGTCCCTTCCTGAGTCGTCTACTCAGGTGGTGGCTCTTTTGCAAGCAGGCCCAGACTCCTCTGTGTGGTTTCCAACCCCTCCATGCCTGGCCCCTCCAGATCCCCTGTCCTGTCCTTCCCCCACGTGACCCTATTCCAGCCCCCCCATTCCAGCCCGTTCCTTTGCCCTTGCAGAGTCTTTCCTGGGCGGGCCTGCCTGCTGGCCTGTCCTCGCTCTCATACTCACTTGCGGGGTGACATGGGAGGTGGCATAGCCTCTCCATGCACTGTTGCCTCATCTGTAAGATGGGGGTATTAATACGAGCAACCACCTCATGGAGTTCTTGGGAGCATCAGGCAGGAGGGTCTGCGTGGAGCTCCTGGCGAGTGCTCAGTAGCTGTCAGTTGAGAGAACATAAGTCCTGTTCAGATCCTCTGTCCATGAAGCTGTCCTGAGCTGCTCCAGAGCCCTCTGAACTCTTCTTCCTCTGAGCTCTAATGGACTTGCCGTCAGTCCCACCCTGCTGAGCGCAGGGATTGTAGCTACAGCTTCTCCCACTTTCCCCACCCCAAATGCACACACACCAGTGCTCCTTGAAGACTGACTGATCTATTGATTCACTTCTCTGAGAAAGAGGTTTTTTTCATCACCTTTTGAGCTGGCCCCAGGCCTGGGGTCTCTATTTCTAAATCTGAACCCCACGACAGGCTGGCTGGCCTCGTGGCTCCTCTGTGCCAGGCCTTCATCATGCACCTGTCCTGCAGCACCCCGCCCTGCCTGGGAGAGCTCCTGCCACTGGACCCAGAAGTTGTGGGTGTCTCTGCACCGAGAGGTTCTTCCATTCTGCAGGTGGGAGCTCAAGAGAATTGCCCCGTTGTGTTCCCCCTGGAGGAATGAGGGCCGCTCCCTCAGTTGAAATCTGTCTTGACTGCTGAATGCCACTGGAGCCCAGCTGTGGAGGTCAGCGCTCAGCTTGGCCTGGATACAGCCTCCACGTCACTGATTATTTTCAAGGCCTATAAAACTAGTCTAGCACTTGGGCTAGTTTCAGTTTTCCTTGGCAAAGACGTGTTGAAACACTTCTTTGGGTGGTTCCTCTGCCTTGCTCACCAGCAACCTGCTGGATTATCTTGGCTCTGTGACCCTTGCCAGCTCCTAACGCACCAATGGCATCAGGTTATTTGTAGTGGCTACAGTGTGGCCACTGCATGTGTTGACCCCAGCAGGGGGCTGGCCTATCTCAGCAGAGCCCAAGGAAGCCACTTCCTCCTCGTTCATGAGTCCACCTTAGCTCATCCCCCATCCTGCTGTTTGTCGTCTGTGAGCGCCTGACTCCGTGAAGCTCTCCCTGGCCCCTGCTCCTTATCTCTTTCCTGCTAAGCTGATCCTCTCTGTGTGGGGACTTATCACCTCCTGAGCCGTGGGGCTCCCCACTGCCGAAAACCCTGCCTGCCTTCCTCTTCGCTGTGGTGTGGCCGTGCTCTGACCTCCCACAGCCAGCTCCCTGGCACATTCCCTCACCTGGCATGTCCCCCACGCGCCAAGGTCCTGCCTCCCTAGCAGAACTCTCACTTCTGCAGCCACAGACTCAAACATTTCACTGCACATGGTCTCTGGTAGATTTGTGTGAGTGCTCAGGATGTCCCAGACCAGGGCATCCTGCCTCCTCTTCTTGAGCCCTCCTGGCTCAGCTGTGGGCACCAGAAGTGGTTTCTGATCTGTGCACATGCTGGGGAGGGAACAGGCCAAGGAAGACCCCTTCTCCCGCCTCCCAAGCGCACCATCCCAGCCATGGTTGTTTTTTTCTAAACCAAGCTGTACCTGGCTTTATTAAAGATACCTTCTCAGGGCCGGCCCCGTGGCTTAGCGGTTAAGTGCGCGCGCTCCGCTACTGGCGGCCCAGGTTCGGATCCCGGGCGCGCACCGACGCACCGCTTCTCCGGCCATGCTGAGGCCGCATCCCACATACAGCAACTAAGAAGGATGTGCAACTATGACATACAACTATCTACTGGGGCTTTGGGAGGGAAAAAAAAAGGAGGAGGATTGGCAATAGATGTTAGGTCAGAGCCGGTCTTCCTCAGCAAAAAGAGGAGAATTAGCATGGATGTTAGCTCAGGGCTGATCTTCCTCACACACACAAAAAAAAAGATACCTTCTCGTGAGCAGCCAGAGCATTTCAGGCAGGATGTGAGTGACCATCAGTAAAAGGACACAGCACCCAGCCTCCGTGGATGACCAAGCACTGAGAGTCACCATGACACCCAAAGTCTTCATTTGTGGCTCTGCCCGGAGACCCTTGGCGTGAGGGGGCCACTCTCACACACCGTGTTGTCTAACAAGTTCTCATCAGACAGCCCGTCTTTGAGGAAATGAAACGGAAACGGCAGAATTCTCCCTCTGAAGACCCATGATCTGAAAACAGGAACCATGGCTCTTAGGAATGACACCATCTCAATGTCGTCACTGGAATATCTGCCTCACGTGTCTGGGTCCAACCTCACCGATGTTGGGGGGCCGGGTCCCCACACGCCCCTGGGCTTAAGGAGGTCAAGTCAGGGTTGATGGTGAGGTGGCAAGGAGAAGAGGACACAAGGACACAGAACACATTTTAGTTTTCCCACAGCACTGGGCGTCTGTGCCAAAGGGGCCGATGTGCCTTGGTGCCACTGAAACAAGCGGAATTCTCTTAAAAAAAAAGATTTGGTCCATTTCAAGCCAGTTTCTGAAATATTCTATTAGTGACATTTACTTCTTCCTCGAAAAACAAAAATCTTCCTCAAAGAGCACGAAAATTCTGCATGTGACGACATAGCTTTAAAAAGCAAAACAAAGGTCTGCATTTTTATGAAATATGATAAGAAATGTTATTCAAGCTGTGCAGTCACACAAGCACACCACCTCGAAGCAGCACCCTGGTCCCCGGGCCGGCTCTGCGTGGGCGCCTTCTCTGCAGGGCTGTTCCGGTCCTCGCCAAGCGGGGACTCTCTTGTCCTTTTGGGTAGTCTCCCCCCCTCGTTGGCAGGGACCTTTCTGGTTTACTGTGGTAAAACATTTATAACATAAAACTTGCCATTTTAATAATTTTTAAGTGTCCGACTCAGTGGCATTAGTTATATTCACACCATTGAGTAACCATCACCGCTATCTATTTCTAACACTTTTTCATCACCCCAAACAGAAACTGTACTCATGAAGCAATAACTTCCCATTCCCACCGCCCTACAGTCCCTAGTAACCTCTCTTCCACTTTCTGTCTCTGCCATTGTGCCTCCTGCAGATGCTCCCTCTGCGTGGAATCATGCAGTGTTTTTCCTTTGGGTCTGGCTTCTCTCACTCAGTGTAGTGTTTTCAAGGTGGCAGGGGCCTTTCTGGCCTGGGCTCCACTCTGGAGCGGCGGGTTTAGCAAATCCCCCCGGATCTCCTCTGCATTCCTCCACCTTGGCCCTGTCACCTGCCTCCCCGTCAGCCTGTCTCTCGGCACGGTGGTGATGCTGGAGGGTGGGCTTCGGCAGGTCTGGAAGTCACTCCCACCTCTCCTCCTCACACCACTCAAATCCCAGCCCAGGAACAGAGCTAGGCACCATGAGGAACTTTGGGTCAAAGGCCCCGAGCCCTTGGAGGCAGGAGGAGGAGGAAGCCAGAGACTCCTTCCCCGGCAGAGGGTGCAGCAGGGTCAAGTGACTGAATGGCTAAATGAGGCCACGCTGAGTGTGATGGGTCCCAGCAGGTGGCTCCAGGGTTTTGAGCTTGGTCATAGCAGGAGACATCTGAAGGGGAAGCCAGACCCAGGGAGAGGGGTGATGGGCTCTCTCTTTTATTTTTTTGCTGAGGAAGATTTGCCCTGAGCTAACATCTGTGCCAGTCTTCCTTTGTTTTGTGTGTGGGTCGCTGCCACAGCATGACTGATGAGTGGTGTAGGTCCACGCCTGGGACCTGAAACCACAAACCCTGGGCCACCAAAGCAGAGCACACCGAACTCAACCACTATGCCATGGGGCCAGCCCCATGGGCTCTCTTTTAATGGTGCTCCTCATCTTCCTTGACTTATTCCTGTGCCATTTCTGTCTCTCCTTCAGGGCACCCACAGTGGTGCCTATGTTGCAGGACACAATGGCTGGGCACTATCTGCTACAGCAGTCTTTGCAGAAGGCAGCCTGGCTGGAGATTTCAAGAGTTATCGACTATTCCAACCCTTTGATCCACAAATAATCAGAAATATGGACCAATATTCATGCACAAAGATGTTCCCTGCAGTGTTGTTTAGAATAGCCCCCAATAGGAAACAAGCTAAGTAGCCAATCCTAAGGGAATGACTCAAATAAAATATGATAAAATAGAACACGGCTATACAAATTATATTTGCAAAGCAAAACAAGATTTTTGATGGTGGGGGAAATGCCTATGACAAAATGTTAGGCAAAAAAATTTTTTTTTAAAGCCGACTATAATTCTCTGTGTGCTTTATGATATCAAGTGTGTAAAGAAGAGAAATCACAGGGAAAGAATAAACAGAAGCATATGCCAAGCTGCTTGGTGCAATTATGGTTTTTTAAAAATTTTCTTTACATCTTTCCACACTTTGCAAATGCTCTACAAAAAGAACATGCGTTACTTTGATCTTCAGCACAACAAAGCAATAAATGGGAGGAACAATGCTCCTCTCCATGTGATTAGGAGGAACCAGAATTGGGGGGGTCCTGGAAGCCTGGCGCAGACCTGTGAGCCAGATGGTACCTGGCTGTGCTTTTAGGGGATGCTGTGGGGGCGGGAGATGGGTGGGGTGCTGGTAGCTTGTGTGCACCGGGAAGAAAGCTGGCTTAGAACAGGGCTGCAGACGTAAATGCCTTCGAGGGCCTGGCACGGATCATAATCGAGTGAAAGTGTCCAATACGATAGGAAGTGTGGGGACCACGGCAAAACGGAGAGCTCCCACCCTGTCTGAAAGGAGTGGCTGTGCTGCTTAGCGGCAGTGGGGGTTTACCATGTGGAAATGTGGGCCTTGTGTGGCCAGACCTTCCATTTTTCAAAGAAGCCAAATATCCCTGATTTTTAAAATGTGAGCTCTCTTATTAAACACTGGCACCTCATTGAAAAATATTCTCAGCTCCACGCACTCCACATCTACGGGCCAGATGTGTCGGGTGACAGTTCGTGACCTCTGGCCGGTTCCTTCCTCCTCCTCGGGCTCTGTGTTGAGTTCTCCGAGTGGGTGACGGGGGTGGTGCCCTGCTGGTGGCCCGCCGCACAGACTGAAGGGGGCTTCCTTTTGTTCTTTCTGCCAGAAAACGAGCCTCCCTCTCCTCTGGTCTCCGGGATCATCGACTACAACATGCCCCTCACCTCCACGTACCTGAAGCAGATGAAGCTACGGGTGATGAACTCCCAGGAGCAGGTAAGGCATCCGTCTCCCCTCACCCCGCCTGGAGGCGCCCCGACTTGCCTGGATGTAGCTGATCCTTTCCAAGACGTGGGGCCACAGCCTGTGTAAACACACGGGAAACCAAAGAGGCCCTTATCTGGTTATCTGGGCCGCACAGTCCAGGCTGGGAGGGGAGGGAAAGAATGTGTTCCTAGTTAGAGGGTCTGAGCAGACAGCCCCGACGACGGGTCTTCAGTGAAACCCAGGAAGCTTGTGCTTAGCACAACTGTCCCCAGGGACAGGGGAAGGGAGGGGGTGGGGAGGAGCTGCAGACCTTGGCTCTTGGGTTGTTCTCTCTCTGCTCTGCCCTTTGTCTACTCTGTCACTCGTCTCCTTTCCCCAGGGAGGTGAGGGGGCTGGCCAGTTGCCTGTGGTCTCTGTCACTCTTGGGGCCCAGATGGGCCAGGAGGATGGGCCTTGGAGGGTGGCCTAGGTGAGATAAGGCCCCGGGGCCCCCTGGCTGTCTAAGACCCCCCAGCTGTGGATTGCCAAGGGCTGTCAGGCACCTTGGAAACGGGCTATGGAAGGAAAACCGCTCTTGCCTGCCTCCCCACACAGCCCACCTTCTAGCCCTTTGCAGAGCAAGCAGCCTGACTGTCACTGTCTTTCAAAGAAGGGCGAGGTGGGTGCCCACCCTCGCTCCGCCACGGCCTCAGAGCAGGGTGATAATGTCTCACCTCCGGCTCCAAGTTTTCTCATCTACTGTGACATGTGAACCTGCCATATCTTTGAGGACCGACTAGGGGAATGGGTTCTTTCTCCCGCTTTGAAAGTCTGGCTTCCAGCCCTGGGAGCAGGCTGTCTGCTGCCAGTCTCCTCACGACCTGAGCGTGCGTATGCGAGGGGTGCAGTGGCTCCGCAGCCAGCTCTGAGGGGATGTAGCAGGACGTGTTCGGGTGGCATCTGGGGCTGTGGCACCCAGTGTGAGGACTTGAGCTGGTTGGCTTGGACACATCAAGGTGTCCACTCCCCCGAGGAGGAGGGGTGGCATGCCCTCCCATCCCCCGCCATGCCCAGCCCCTGGAGGTTGAACGAAGCAAGCTTTGCTCTGGCTGGCAGAGCTGCTGCGTCTCTGTGTCTCCCGTATCTCCTCACCTGAGATTGTCTGTTCTGTGACGGCCACATCCCTGAGAACACTGTCAGCGGGGACAATGGTGTCGGGGTTTCTGGCTCACAACAGCAAAGTTGTTTTTGTGCAGGAATGTCAGAGATCTCCTCTGACTGCCACTCGAGAGTTAACTGGTGGCCTTTCCTTTCCTATAAACATCCATACTGTCAGAGGCACCTGGTTCTCACACGTTCTTATCACCGTTCTCATCCGTCGCCATGGAGAATGGAGCACAGAGCCTCTCCAACAGCCAGAGAACAGCCCCACTGCTCTTTCTTTCCCGCAAAATGGTGCTAGATCCAGATCACCGCCAGAACCAGTGGTGATTGGTGTAGCCCACGTTGTGATCCCTCATTAATGGATCCTGTTGTATTTTGTCTGGTTATACAAATTCTTACTGTCTGTGGGGATTAAGACCATTGGTTAGGTGTGTTAGTAAGAATTCAATCATTCAACACATCTTTAGGCAGCCCTACTCCAGGAGCCAGGCACTAGGGATGAGCAGAGACAGCGCCATTCCTAGTTCTTCTTATGATCTAGGGGGAGACAGACACTTAATGAAAAGATCAAACACAAATGCCCAGCCCATAGTAAGTCATGATAAACAATTGAGGGAGAGATTGATTAGCCATCATGGTGCAGCTGTGACAGGTACAACGCAGGAGGACTCATGGTGCTGTGAGGACTTAGACGGGCATGGGGGGTGGAGGGAGGACCGAGGCAGGGGTCAGGGAAGGTTTGCCTCAGAAAGGGATGCTTGAACCTAGATCAAGATCTGAAGGGAAGAGAGCTCCAGCCTGCGGGAACAGCTTATGCAAAGGCCCTGTGGCTCGAGGGAGGACAGGGCCTGCAAGAATTTGAGAGGCTGGTGTGGCTTGTGCAGAGAGTGTGAGGAGTTCTATTGCCAAAGACAAAGGGGGAAAGCACAGTGTTGGGCACATAAGCACTTGATGGGTGTCTGTAAATGAACTGAACTTTATGAAATGAGATAGAAAAATTGCCCTGGTAAGGTTCGGACTACTCCCAAAGGAAGGGAGGCCTGTAGGAAGGCGTTTGTCCCCAGGGTGCTCCGAGAGTCTAGCTGGGGCTGAGGCCGAGGCTGAGATTGGGGTGGCCTCTGCTTACAGTGGAGCTGACGTTGTCTTCCTCACCTTCATTCATAGTTTCCCAGATGGGCCTCTGAAGGTAGCCGACTTTCTCCCGCGTGCTGCAGGGGATCAAAGGTGCACACCCTCCTTGCACACACCCACAGGAGAAGCGGCACCCACCTCCTGCCCACGGCCTTCCTCCTGTCAGTCTCCAGCACCCCACGCAAAGCAAGGCGCTCTCAAGGCCTCAGCCTCCCAGGCAGCACTGTTATCCCTGTTCTGTAGCCAGGCACACCGCAAAACAAGAAATGCCATTGCTCACCAGATGATGTATCTGCAGGAGGAAGGAGGGGCCAAGGACACAGAAGTCTTTGATTCTTCAGCTTGAGTTGGAACTAAAAATAATACAGTTGAATTAGTAGCTTCTTTCCTGTACAGCAGAGTCGGAGCCCTGTTACCTGTTCCAAGGAACGGGTAAATGGCCCCCCATCCAAACACGGCTGTGGGAATGGCTCCGCTGCTGTCAAATCCCAAGTCCCAGGACAAGGCTCTGAAAGTGGTTCCATTCCTCTCCTCATCCCCCTGACCCTGAGATGCCGACAGAGGACACCCGTAGTGTTTGCAAATCGCTCATGCAGGCTACTTGTGGAAAATAACCCAATTCTAGAGCAGGGATGAATGATGTTTTATTAATGCCGAACAAAGCTTCACATCTAAAAACTGTGGGTGAGAAAAATCCCAATAATTCATTTTTTCCCAGCATGAGAGATCCAAGAGAGAGAGTAAGGCCAGTGGAACATTTCCCTTCACTTTGCTTTGAGCAGACGACGAACAGGTGGTGGCGTTTACCTGTGAACTGGGCAGAATCGCGTTACGTATCCAGTAGTGCCAGAATACCTTGCCAGGAAATGGGTCCTTCTCCGTGGAGGATATTAGGTAACGTGAAAATCCAAGAACAATATTCACACAAAGAAAAAAGATCCTTTTTGCGGTCCAATTCAATGCAGCAAATATTTATGGTGTCCTCAACATGCAAGCCACTTGGGAGTCAGACTCCATTCTCCCAGGACCTCCATCCTAAGACACAGACCCCAGGAGCTGTCATCACAGCAGCCACAATGAGCTGAAAATAGGAGAGTGTAGCCTGGTAAAATCATTTGCTCCCCCCTTACTCAGGAAAACACTCATAAAGATATAAAACTGAAATCATATTTAGTTGTACTGATGAATACATTTTCTCATAGGGGGCAGGGTAGAAAGATGTCATGAGATGTGGACCGTCTCGGAAAATGCTCCGTGGCATTCTCTGATAAGACGAGTTCCCAGGGAAGGGTGCAGGCCGCGCCCGTGGGGCGAGAGGCGGCCAGCAAGCACCATCCCCAGCTGCTGATCTTTCAATTCCCCTGTCAGGGCTGTGAGCAAGCTGCACCCCGAAGAGGGCTGGGGTCTCTTCTTCACACAGCCACTTTGTCGTCTGTCTCACTCAGTTTTCTGTCATATTTTTTTTTTAATTGCACAAGTAACACACAGCTTCAATAGCCAAAAAGCAAAAGCATGTGGTAAAAGTCGCCATCGGCCCAGCACTCAGATCACTGTGTGTGTTGTGGTGTCCACCCTTCCAGACTGTTGAATGGAAAAGGGATTATCCTGTAGGTACCACTTTACAACCTGCTTTGCTTTGTTTTTCTTTTCTTTCTTTTTTTTTTTTTAAACCATTTTATTTATTTATTTTTTCCCCCAAAGCCCCAGTAGATAGTTGTATGTCATAGTTGCACCTCCTTCTAGTTGCTGTATGTGGGACGCGGCCTCAGCATGGCCGGAGAAGCAGTATGTCGGTGAGCGCCCGGGATCCGAACCCGGGCCACCAGCAGCGGAGCGCACGCACTTAACGGCTACGCCACCGGGCCGGCCCTGCTTTGTTTTTCTGATGCGGGTTTTCCGTATGATTTGGAGTCTTTCTGCCCTCTGGGCCTTGATGTTTCCACCTACCAGTAAGCGGGTTATATAATTTTCCTGTCATTCACTCACTCCTTTGCCCACATCCATCCATCCATCCATCGAGCACCTGAACCTGGTCCCAAGGAGATAGCGGTGAACAGGGCAAGTGTCGGCCCTGCTGGCTCTCCCAGTTCAGTGAGAGACACAGGGAAAACCGAAATCGACACTACGGAGTCTGCAGGAAGAGCTCAGAGGAGGGACAAGGGAGCCAGTGGGGTGGGCACTGTTTCAGGCAGGGGGGCTATGCACTGGGCACCTGTTCTGTGGCGAGCACTTGACCCACTCTGCCTCTCACCCTCACCGTTCGGCAGGGTCACGTTATTACCCTCATTTTACAGGTTCCACAGCTGCAGCTCAGAAAGGGTCAGCCTTTGCCCAAGGTCACACAGCCTCTGACATGAATTGAAACTCACATCTCTTTCATCCCGAACTTGTGCACCTGCAGGGCCCCAAGCCCTGCTTCTCTCCACACGTGCTGGATGAGGATGTGCTCAGTAGGATCTGGAGCGGGTGTGCCGCCCACGGGGTTGGTGGAGGGAAAACGTCCTTGGCCGGGATGCTGGCTGAGCAGGCAGAGTGGCTGGGCTTGGGGGAGCTTGCCCCTATCTTGCGAATGCTCAGTTATCTGCAGGCGTACATATGTAATTTGAGATCCACGTTACGAGTGACGTTGCCCTGGTCTTTCCTGAGATCGCAGTGTTTGAACCAAGACCCCCGTTGTAGAAATCAGATCCGGAAGGAGGAGACAAATGGTCTGTGTTCCTTCCCCGACACGTACT